GGCACCGGCCCCACCGTGACAAACAACAAAAGGTAAGTAAAATTAACATGGTAATTATTAACATGGTTATCAGAATGAAAAACATAGAATCTGATGAAAAGTAAAAAAAAGTATCTGTATTAAGAAGATACACACTTAGTTACTGCATTTGGGGGATTTGAACTGAATCTGGTTGATATTTAATACATTTATTTATCTATGACCTTATAAACATGTATCAGTATATGTGCATAATACTTTTCCTGTTGTTTTTCTTTGTGGCCATGTGTAGAAGAAGTTTAAAAAAAAAAGTATCCCATTGCTTTTAACAGTGGACTGACTCTGTCTCCTCTCTACCTTTAATCATTTGTAATGTAATGGTAACTTGAAATGACATCAAAAATATAAAAAAACTAAAATTTCCTGGATCTAATAGAGTTCAACAGAAACCAGATTTTCAGCCTAGTGGTTCCAGTTTCTTATCAGGGTTTCCTGAGAATGTTTTCAAGCTTTATTGTTGGCCTGATAATGCATTTGTTGTAGAGAAAATGGTTTAACAACATTTGTAGGGAACTGGCAAAGTACTGGACCTTCAAAAAAAAAAAAAAGTCTTGTTGTAAAATAGATCAACGCCAGTTTTTCTTGACAATTTCAGCAAACATTTGGTGAAAGGCCTCTTATTGTTTTATTCATTTAACCAGCAGGGTTCCTGGGTGTTTTCTTACCTTGTATCGTAAATGGCGTAGAGCTTTTTATTCCCATCAACAGCATTCCTGTGAAAACACAAGAGCAAGCATTATTTTCTGCTCTTGCAGTGCTGAGTTTCATTGCCCTGACTTGTTCCATGTAGCTTTGTTTTAGTGCAAACTGTCAAAGATCACCATGGATTTCCTTGTGTGTTCAAATTCATACACGCCTTCTGCTATCTCTGTGGTGTGATATTACGACATCCTTACAGTGGACTGGAAGGCATCAGATCCTCATTTTTAGACAGAAAGCAAAGCAATGGATGGATGTACACAGGGTCTATGTGACATAGTTTTACATCCTGGAATCTACATGTAGACCACTGACAATAAAAGCAGCAGTTTTCAGCAGGGTGTCCTACTTAGGGGATGCAGAAAACAGGAATCAGTATTGTCTGGGTTTATAGTCATTAAATATTTCCTTTGCTATTTAAATGCTCGAAATAATTATCATTTTACAATTTAGAATATAAACAGGGTATATTGTAATTAAAAAGCTTTAATACATTATCATTCTTTTTCATTGACTTACGTCAATAAGAAATAGTTGAAATAATAAAGTGCAAATAGTAGTCCCAATGTGTAAATGAAATTATTCAAATCTGTTAATATATTATACTTTTTTCTTTTTAGTTGAAATATATATATAATTTTAATGTTAACCTAATTACCAAAAGAAGACATTTCACATTGTTTTTTGCTCTCTGCAGCTCAATAAAGTTGTTTCTAGTTTATACATTGTCAAACAATTCAGCAGAATCTGGAGACCCAATAAAATGTATTGAAAAGACGAATAATAAGGTGGGAAACACAGAGATGACAATTTATAAACATACTGCATCAGTAAACAATCTGCATTTACAGATAGCTGATTAAATTTAACTCAAAGACACATTGTTTTAATAGTCCTATTAGTATAGTGGAGAGTATCCCCCCTGTTACGAGCGAGACCAAGGTTCGACTCCCTGACGGGGAGCTTAATTACGGGGAGTGGCCTTAGGGCATTGTGCTTGGAATCCTGAGGTTCAGAGTTCGAGCCCCACTCCCACAGACTGCAACTCTGGCTCCCTGAGCAAGACCCTTAATCCCACACTGCTCCCTGGGCGCCCCACAATGGCAGCCCACTGCTCCCATAGGGGATGAGTTAAATGCAGACAGTTTCATTCATTGCTCTGTACTTGCAACAGTGTAATGACAATAAAAGGCAAAAAAAAAAAAAACAAAACAAATAAAAAACATTTCTATATCTTCTTTAAATAACCTTGGTTTTATATTAATTAGTTTTAGTTGCTAGGCATCCATTTCTATCTATGCTGTAAATAAATATATTTTTGAGAAAACAGAAGAGATAATTTGTCCTCTAAAGTAAATGGCATGTACTTATATAGCGCCTCTATTCAAGTTAGGAGACTTGCCCAAAGTTTACTCTACATTCATTCACCCATTCACTCACACACTGATGGTGGCAAGCTACATTGTAGCCACAGCTGCCCTGGGGCTCACTGACAGAAGCAAGGCTGCCGTACACTGGCGCCACCGGGCCCTCTGACCACCATCAGTAGACAATACAGGTGAAGTGTCTTGCCCATTGATACAACGACACTGAAAGTCGGAGTTGGGGCTTGAACCGTCAACCCTTCGATTTCAGGGCAAACTCCTACATCCAACGCCACTGTCGCCCCAAAAGTACAAAAACATTGCATTATACCTGACTGTACTGGAATGACCTTAAAATGTCAATGTGTTCAACATAAAAAATAAAATTTGTGTTCTATTGAAAAAAAGTACAAGGTTTTGAAACAGCTTTGACCAAGTTTTTTAAGATCCATCAATACTAGACCAAAATTGAGGCTTCACATTGTGGTGCCCATCATCCCTGACCCCAAAAACATATTTTGCTGCGGGCCCCACTGAGGCCCGATGATTGCGATGTTAGCGGGAAGAGATTAACTCAATAGCTGCATTGTAGGTTTTTGAAAGCTGAAACCTGAAAATAATGTCTTCCCTTCCCGCTATCATCGCAGCCCCAGCCCCTCTACAGGAGAGCAGAGGACTCGCCTATTCAGCCAGGCAAACAATTCCCTTTAACGACCCCCCTTTCAGAAACTAAAGGGCTGGTTATCCTCCCTGCAGCAGTGTGTCACAGTGAGCTTGTTGCAGATATATTTGATTTATGCTCTATTTTGATGTGTGGTCTGCAGTATGTTATTCCACAACGAAAGAGGGACCATCCGGAACTAGCTCTAGATATGACCGAGGCGGTGAGGAAGTGGAAAAATCCAAGGGGAAATTTTGTGCGACAATGTAGGGACATGAGGGTGAAAAAGAGCAGGGATCCAGGTGGAAAAAGGGTCCCAGCGTTCTCGCGCACCTCGCTCTTCTAGCTGCTCCTCCTTCATGAATCGTTTTCCACAATGGCGGTCATACAAACAAAACAAGCTGGTAAGGTACCAAACAGGAAATACTGATGGTGTAGCACGGATGTAAATTTGACCAATCAGAGGCCTTCTGTCTGCCGCACTGTCTGCGCTCCCCTACAATTTTGGAAAGGTGCAGCAGAGTGTCTGCAGAAGGGACGGCCTGATTTCTGAGTATAAATCAGCCTTTAGACGGGTAGAGGGCATTGCAGGCTAACAAAAGAAGCCGAACGACCCCCATTCCAAAGGGGTGGACCCTTTCATCAGTTTATATTTGCATGTTTTCAAAACAGAAACAAGGTTCTGATGGGCTACTGTATAAGAGCCTCGATCTCAATGCTATTCCTTGTCATGGTTTTGGTTTTGTTCAGGTTTTATCTCTGAGTTTTTATTGGTCTTATTTCCATTTTGTGTTCTAGTTATTATCTAGTTATCTTGTGTCAGTCTCCTTTTTCCATAGCTCCCTTCTTTCCTCCTCTGTTCACACCTGCTCCCAATCTGCTACTTATATTGGTCTTTGTTTCTCTCTCCCATATATTCTCCTCCTGTTCAGTCATTTCTTGGCCCCCTTGTTGTGAGTATTCCTAGTTTTCAGTATTTTTGGATTTTGTGGATTTATGTTTTTGGATTTTTTCTTCTGATACCCTTTTTTGGTTAATTCAATCTTGCAAGAAACCAACTTAGCTCCAGTCACTGCATTTGGGTCCTGTCAAACCGCAACCCCACCATGACATTCTTGACATTTTGAATTGAAAAAGCTTCCTAGATGGGAAGCGAAACGTATCAAAACTTGGAAACAAAGTCCAGTGGACTGTTTTTAATTTTCTTTTTTTGGAATGACTATGACTTGGATGACTGGGAATCTTCAAAAGCACAAACTACATAAAATGGAGCCTAGGCGGATGTTAAACTAAAGAAACTCATTGCCTTCCTAAATCCACCTGTGACAGCAAATCAGCTTTAAACCACGCCTCCATGAAAGCCAATCGGCATCCAAAGTTCATCTTAAAAGGCCTCCGATATGCACTTGTCTGCTCCTGTGCGCCGCCGGCGGGTGTGCTGTAACTTCATTTAGATGACCCTGTTTCAACTCACCTCCAGCCCCTCCTCCACCGTCGTAGCTAAAGCTTCATCAGAGTTTCACTCCTCCCGGACTCTTACTGCGTTCCCTGTCTCATTTTAATTGGTCTGGCAGAAGACCGCCATGTTGAGCCTGGTTCTGCCAGAGGTTTCTTCCCAACAGGGAGTTTTTCCTCTCCACTGTCGCTTCATGCTTGCTCATCATGGACAGGTTCTCTCAGCCTGTGTTATCCAACTGGACTTCCATCTTCCAGGTCCCTGAGTGAAGCTCTAATATCAGCTCACGCAGTCCACTGGATCTCCCCATAAAGCTCAGCATACTGTCTCGCTAACCAGCAGTCTACAGACTCACCAACTTCATCTATCTCCACTCCACCACCAGTTTCAGGTCTGGGGGGAAACAGCCCTATTCTTTACTCCTGTTCATGCTTATCTATCAAAATTAAGCGCTATGTTTCCTGCCGAGGTCTGAGCGCCAAAGACAAAGTAATTGTATCAATAAATTTCTCCTAATTGTCTTTTCTCTTTGTGTGAGTTTTTCAGATTGAAACGTTTCTTAAAAGAAGGCACACAAAGATGAAGTTACAGGATGCTTGTATCAAAAATTTCAGAAAGACTCTAAATTTGCCTCTTTTCCTCACATTTTCTCTATATCCTCTCTCCATCCCTCCCCTCTCTCTCTCTCTCTCTCTCTCTCTCTCTGTCTCTCTCCCTCCCATATTACACATCCTCCTGCTGTTCTGCTCTCTCGCCCAGTTTTGCTCATTACGCAGTGGATCTTACTACGTCCTCTCCTGCTGAACACACACTAGGATTTCACCGTGCTGCACCTTGGAGACCAACTAAAAGAATGGTCAGTCAGCAGAGCTGTAGATGGGGAAGCCCTTAGTCGTTTTTTTCTTCCTGCAAGATGCAGCTACAGACCTGGCTGACATTGAAACCAGTCTTCATTTTCAGATGGAGCGGATGAGCGCAGTCTGCGTGTGAGAGAGAAGTTTGATCCTCCGCCGTGGTGAGATCTGGCAAACTGCGGCACAGCAGCAGAGTGGGAGATGTAGTGGGCTGGTGGGCATGGGAGGAAAGGCTGCTGCATTGCTTAGAGATGAGAGCGGATGGGAGGGATCCACGCTATTAGTTGGGATGTCTGCAGCGCAGAGCTCTGAATGTGATGCAGGATTTAGATCTTCAGGGATGAGGGTGTTTGGTTGATTGGAATGATTAGCAGGAACCAACTTCATGAACGTCAGATGGGCAGAACAGATGCTCTGATATAGGCTTAAGGATTTTAGATGATAGATTATTGACTTAATTTTTTTAAATTGGCATGACTCATAATTATCTTAGGAATGTTTATGTTGATTCTGCAGAGGCGGGTTGTGTTTTTGGTCACTGGATATACCTGACCTGGAGATTTTATTGCATGTTTGCTTATTTTGTCCTTTCGTCCTGCACTGAGACAATGCTTAATTTAAAAAGTCTGTTTCCTCATTAAAAAAAAACAACAAAACATTACTTTTTTTTGCATAAATTTACACAATACAATCTCAGCTAAGGGATTTTAATATAGAGATGATTCACTCACTGCAACAGTGCTACAATAAATCATCTATCTTGTTAGAAGGACTATTTGCCCAGGGTGGCATAAATTGGGGGCAATTAGTATGTAAGTTTAAAAAAAAGACTTGTGAGTTTTAATATGCTTACAAATTTGGGCAAACACTGTGGAATAGGTGCTACTCTTGTGTGTGCAGTGTAGAAACAATCAGAGTTGTTGGATTAAGGGTCTTTTTCTCAGTTTTTAAGATGTCTGAAAAATGGAATATATAAGGACTGCTCTATCCTTATCTAAGTTATTATTCTTTCCCAACAGACTTTTAGAAATATAAAACTAGTGTTGTGCCAATGCTAATTTTTGGCTCCAATACCGATACCTGGCTGTGCAGTATTGGCCGATACTGATACCGTCTGTTTGAAAATTACGTGTGTGTGTGTATATGAAGAACTGCATCCTACTTGGATGTAAAATAATTGCCATCATGGCTTTGTCAAGCTGCTGTCTACCTTTGTGAAGAAGAAAAAAGACTAATAAGTGAATCCAGTAGAACTTTTTATTGCCTACCTGGAATGGGAGACAATAGTTGAATAAACTTTTGGCTCTCAAAATTGTATTGGTGGCCTATTTGTTGGTACTCGCTGATACAGATACCACCATTTTAGGGCAGTATTGGGATACTGGTATCAGTATTGGTGCAACACTATATAAAACCCAGTTGTGTTTTTCCCTTTATTTGATGGAAACGGGCACAGATTTGTTTTTTTCTGTTTTTTAATAGATTTTTATTTTTTTTATTGCTTTTTCAGGGGAGTGGTCGTGCTATTGATCATATTTTGTATGAAAAAAAGGAGGAGGTTTGGTGCCATTCATGCAGGAACTGCTTATCTGTGTGTTTTAGGAATGGGCAATGGGATATGCTACACAATGAAACGTCTATGCCTTTTTCTCTTGCTTGTGAGCATCACCTGCCGGCTGAGGTGAGGAACTGAATGCTGGCATGTTTGCTTAATGCAGAGGCACGGTAACTGCTTAAAGAAAAAAGTTGTCTTTCATCCAGCTTTTCTCAGGAAGTAGCTGGAAGTCCCAGACAGACAGAATTAAACGACAACATCACCATCTTTACCCGCATCCTGGATGGACTGCTCGATGGTTATGACAACAGACTCCGGCCCGGTCTGGGAGGTAAGCCAAGTGGATAAATCTACCTTTAAAACAGCAAGGCCTGAGTTATAGTGAAGTTGGGGTATTTAATTTGCTCTCTGTGGCAGAGCTGCACCAGGGTATTGCTTTTTGAGAAAAACACAGATGCTTATCTGATCAGACCCTCTCTTTATGGATTTTGATGTCATTATAACATTAGCATTAACTGTTATGACTTCACAAAAGTCTGTTATTGATATTACACTGAACAAAAAATGTGAAGGCAACACTTTTGGTTTTGCTCCCATTTTTTATGAGATGAGCTCAAAGATTTAAAACTTTTTCCACATAAACAATGTCACCATTTCCCTTAAATATTATTAAAAAAAAACAGACTAAATCTGTGACAGTGAACAGTTCTCCTTTGCTGAGACAATCCATCCCACCTCAAAGGTGTGCCATATGAAGATGCTGATTGGACACCATGATTATTGCACAGTGGTGCCTTAGACTGTCCACAATAAAAGGCCACTCTGAAAAGTACAGTTTATCATCCTGGATACCTGGATCGCATAGAGTTTATCAGGTTGTCAATTGTGGCCTGTGAAATTTGGGTCCACTCCACTTCAATGGCTGTGCCAAGTTCATCACCAAGTGGATATTGGCAGGAACTGGTCCACGCTGTTGTATACGCCAATCCAGAGCATCCCAAACATGCTCAATGGGTAACATGTCCCGTGCGGTGAGTATGTCGGCCATGCAAGAAGTGGAACATTTTCAGCTTACAAGAATTGTGTACAGATCCCTGCAACAAGGGGCTGTGCTTTATCCTGCTGCAACATGAGCTGATGTTCTTGGACGTGCGGCACAACAATCGGCCTCAGGATCACGTCACGAAATCTCTGTGCATTCAAAATTCCATCAATACAATGCACCTGTGTTCTTCGTCCATAATAGACTCCTGCCCATACCATAACCCCACCGCCACCATGGGACACTCGATCCGAAACATTGACATGAGAAAACCTCTCACCCACACCGACACTAAACATGCTGTCTGCCATCTGCCCTGAACAGTGTAAACTGGGATTAATCCGTGAAAAGAACACCTCTACAACGTGGCAGAGCCCAGCGAATGTGAGCATTTGCTCATTTAACTCGGTTACAATGACAAAGTGGAGTCAGGTCAAGACCCCGATGAGGGCGACGAGCATGCAGATGAGCTTCCCTGTGACGGATTCTGACACTTTATGCATAAATTCTTTGGTTATGTGAACTGATTGTTTCAGCATCTGTCCCAGTGGCTGTTCTCAGACCATCTTGGAGGTGAACACGCTGAATGTGGAGGTCCTGGGCTGGTGTGGTCACACGGGGTCTGCGGTTGTCAGGCTCATTGGATTCTCTGAAACACCTTAGAAGAAATCTTATAGAAGAGAAATGAACATTCAATACATGAGCAAAAGCTCTGGTTGACATTCCTGCTCTCAGCATGCCAATTTCACGCTGGCATTGTGCACAGGGGCGGAGCTAGATGGGGGGCCAGGGGTGGCCATGGCCACCCGTAGCCAATCACTGGCCACCCCTGTGGCCACCCCTACTATTTTTTCCTTGTAATACAGATGGTGGCAGCAGTAATACCCTGAAGGGGAATGTTCAAATTTATTAAACATTTAAACTTTTCATTTATCAACAACTGCTTGACAACAGAAACACTGCAGTTAATTATGCACATTAATATACAAACATTAAAGATGCTAGATACAGAATTCATGCTCTTTTCAGAGCTAAATTTTGAATTATTTGGGGTAAAGATAAAATGACGTGCCTCTGCAAGTCATCTAGGAGTCTTCATTGAAATCATCGATAAATAATTACTTTCATAAGAACTTAAAAATTAATTAAATGTGGATACTAGTAGATTTAAATATAATTCATTTGCAGAATGATTATTGATTAAAATAGGTAATGACAATGTAAAATATGTTCGCCCAAGAGCTCAAACCTGAAAGAATTTTGTCCACTATACCTTTTATTTACACATTATAGATGTTAGCAAAGGCTGAAGGAAAGTCTAGTTTGTCTTTATTTAGAAAATATGAATGTTGTTCTCATTCCTGTTTGAACAGTGTAGATTGACCCTGAGGTTCTGGTGTCTTTCGGCCGCCCCTCAATATACATTGGTTATTGACTGGCCACCCCATTAGGATTTTCTGGCTACGCCTCTGATTGTGCATTGGCATTGTGCTGTGTTATTAAACTGTCCCTTTCAGAGTGGCGTTTTATTGTGGCCAGTCTAAGGCATACCTGTGCACTAATCATGGTATCCAATCAGCATCTTGATATGGAGGTGGGATGGATTATCTCAGCAAAGGAGAAGTGCTCACTATCACAGATTTAGACTGCTTTATGGACAAAATTTGAGGGAAATGGTGATATTGTGTATGTGGAAAAAGTTTTAGATCTTTGATTTGATCTCATAAAAAATGGAAGCAAAACCAAAAGTGTTGTGTTAATATTTTTGTTGGGTGTAATTGATTAACAGTAGGGCTGCTGTGGTACTAATGATGGGTGACATAGAGATAAAAAGGGCCAATTTGACCTTGATAAGATCATTGAATTACATGTTAGAAGAATTAAAGATTCGATTATTCATAAAACTAAGAACAATTTTGGTCTAAAACAAACTATAAACACATTTTGATGCACCTTTGTGAGCACAAAACTGTTAAATAATCATAATTAATAGCCATAATATTTGAATCCCCTCATTTACTGTTAGATTTATAACTTCAAAAGTCTGCTGAACTTGTGTATATATATCTATATCTATATAGATATAGATCTATATATTTATATTTAATTACATTTTTATTTAGAACATCATAAAATTTATTTATTTCATGATGTACTAAATGATTTTATGTCACTGTTGAAGAACACCATAAATACATTTTTACTTTCACACAATCGTTGAAGTCAAAGAGGCGGAACTAGTTCGCCGCCATAGAAACCCTGACGTCTGATTGCTGGCATCTCACTAAGCAAGATAAGAAAACTTCCTCTTGGTTTTTATTTCTCTCTGTCAACATGTTTGCCAAAAAAATTTGTAAATACATTTTTTTATCCTTTGATTCTTTTGAGGTATTGGGCAGCATGACAGACCCTAGCAAGCTCTCTCATTAGTTTATTAGACATATTTCAGACCAAACTGGGTATATATAGGCAGGAGTTGCTCACCCAATGTGCTGTGAATGAATGACAACACGCATTTTAAAGTTATTGAATTTTTTTCCAGTGATAATATTGACCTTAGAGCACGGCTGCCTGAATTCGGCCCTCTAGGGCTGCTGTTCTGCAGGTTTTTTAAGGGTTTCTCTGCTTCAGCATTGATTATTGAGAGGCTTTTGCTGAGCTGAAATCATCAGAATCAGCGGAGCTGAAGCAGGGAAACCTTTAAAACCTGCAGGACAGCGCTCCTCGAGGGCAGACTCTCTGCAGGCCTGATTTAGGTTGTATTTGTTTTCGGCTGCAGCGTCCTCTAAAGGACCCAGTAAACCTGGGCTGCTAAGATCCCAGTCATCATGTACCTCTGGTTCCAGTATAAACAGCTAGCTGATCATTTCAGCACCAGCTGCAGACAAACACAGACACTACCTGATGCTCCTTATGCTTAAATCAAGATGACTTTGATATCATCACATTGAGATGATAATAGCAAATTAAACTGCATTCCTTCTTAAAAGGTGGAATTTTAGTTTCACAAAGTTTCAGTTTTAAAATGTATCTCCTTCAAACAGTGTTGGCTTGTTTGTCACATTTTTTAAAGACTGAAATTCTGGTTATTGGGTAAGAAGATTAAATGAGTGTGGCGCAATGTTTGACGAGACACTTGGAAGATCAAACATATAGTAATAACGTCTAACTTTCTGTTGTTTAAATGCCAAAAATTGTTTCTCAAATCAGCATTTCAATCATTTCAGTTGTCTTTCAATATTATATTGAAAGTAAGGAGTGGGTTTTGTGTCATTAATGTTGCAGGGATGTTACATGGAAATTTGAAAGCAATGCAATCCAATGCAATCCAGAAAATACAATTTGAAAAACAAATAAAAGGTTTTCTTTGTATTTGCTGTTTTCCTAGATTTAATTTTTTCCATTTCAAAGTCTATTTTTCCAACAATAATGAAACAAAATTAACTCCATAGAAAATTAAACTAAAATGAATCATCAAGAGAACACTATTATTATTTTAAACTTACAGTCCCATTCTTGGAGCATTTTTTTCTGATGCATAAAAGGAAACAACTTTAAAAATAATCCTTAAAATAGATATCCTTGTAGTGGGTGTTTGGCGGGATGTATAGAGAGCATTTTACAAAGTAGATTCCTGAGGAACGCCACAACTTCCAACAGCTGGAGAGTGAAGTTGCTGCACTGTGAGATTAATTTACATACCCACAGTTTAATCAGCACAACTATACTGTCAAACTAAAGGGACTCTGAACATAGCATTAAATCAATCTAAGTTTTCTTTAAGATGCCTTTATTTTGAAATGGAAAGTTGACTCAGCTCTATAGAAAGTTTCTATAGTGGATTGCCATTATTGCATCAGAGCTTCATAGTAGAGGCAGTAAAGAAAATGATAATTTGTGTTGTTACAATAAAGTTTAATCATTTTCTGTGTTTTCCAACAGAAAAGGTGACGGAGATCAAAACAAACATCTTTGTCACAAGCTTTGGTCCTGTCTCTGACACGGAAATGGTATGTTCCATTTAGGCTTCCACCATAGTTACTGTTTGAGAGAATCACTGTTTGAGTTTGGATAAGTAAATCAGGTCTCATATCCACTAAATCACAAGTTAGATTACATTATTTTACACTTGAATTTTTTACACAGTTTTCATACAACAGAAGTCTCTTTCTGCAGGAATACACCATCGACGTCTTCTTCCGTCAGAGCTGGAAAGATGAGAGGCTCTGCTTCAAAGGCCCGATGGAGATGCTAGCCCTGAATAACCTGCTGGCCAGCAATATCTGGACGCCCGACACCTTCTTCCTCAACGGGAAAAAGTCCATTGCACACAACATGACCACGCCCAACAAGCTGCTGCGGCTCAAAGACGACGGGACGCTCCTTTACACCATGAGGTGGGCTCTGACAGAGCGACGTTTCTTTTCCAATCAGGCTTTACGCTTTACAACAGTGATTCATTAGAGCTGAGGGAATCTTGTTGTGCAATCCAATTAGCAGCAGAGAGATGACTAAAACCTCCACCTGCTTCTTCGCTGCGTTGAGAGGTTTTTGGAGTACTGCTGCACCGATACGGCCCACACACTCGTTCTCACTGACCTGATAGTGCAACGATGCATCATTGTGTTTGTCCTCGTACTCTGAACAAGCGGTCAGGCAAACTTCACATTTGCTTTGACCCCATTCAAGCTCTGTTTGGAATTACCTTTTAACAACAGCTTTATCATTTGTACCTTTTAATCTTACTCTTGAAACAGACACAGAATAGATTACAGCATATTTTCCCCTTTAACCTTTCACTGTTTCTCACTTTATAGACACAAACATTGATGTATTTGTATTTAGTTTTAATATATCAGGGTTTCTGCAGGTCATTAAACATCACTAAAACTCATTAAATTATTATTTGTTTAAATAAGGCCTTAATTGGCATTAAAATTTATTGTGGCATTTAAAACGCTTTATTTAAAATAAAAAAAAAACGTCTCTAAAAAACAATTGTCAGATATATCAGAACTGGTTCCTGTTGATCATAAAGCTGTATGTTCTGAATGTATATGTATGTGTGTGTATATATATATATATATATATATATATATATATATATATATATATATATAGATATAGATATAGATATGTGTATCTATATATATATATATATAGTACTCATGGGTACTTATTAATTTATTTCTAAGAGCAGCATTAAATTAGAATTACTCATTCAGTATAAACCCTGCATATGAACACAAGATGCCACAGAATTGAGAATTAGATAGTAAGCAAATCATACTTTTCAAAATTCAAGAAAACAAGTTCAACAAATTGCCTTCAGGAGCTACCTGCTCAGTAAATAGAATCATCCTCTAATTAAATATCAATATGGAGTTAATCATGTTCCATTATTGGTTGTAAGCCTAGAACAGATTTTGTAGGTTGAAGTTTATAGAGTAACTTTGCTTTTTTTTTCAGATTTAATTTTCTCAAAATATATTTATAACATTTTATTTTTGGGAACTTTCATCTTTTTCCATTTTGTTTTTACATAATAAAAACTTTTTAATTTTTTTTTTTTTGAAATTCTCTTTACAGCCAGGATTTTACAAATTGCATTCTTTTGAAATTGCTTTTCACAGATCACATTCTCTGCTCTTTTTTTCTGGATTGAAGAGCGACGCCGCATTTCCGTTGGTCTGTATTGATGTTCGAAACAATGATCAGAACAAATGTTTGTGTTACGCTTAAAGGAAACAGAATGTGATCACTAAAACGCGGTCTGAAAAAGAGAGCAATTCAAAAGAGAAATCTGTAAAAAAAAACAAAACAAAAAAAAAACTTAAGTTTGAGAGAATAAAATGTGAAAAAAATGAAATGATACATTTGTAAAGTTAAAAAAGTTCCTCTCAAACCTTTAAAGAAGGAGCATTTTTTTCAATTATCCATTTACAATACGTGTTCTATGCCTTCATCAACAATTACTTTAATTATAAAAATGAAGAAACGAAGCAAAAAGGTCCAGAAGGATGTTCTCAAAAGGTTTGTGTTTCCCTTGGACAGGATGAGACATAAAGAAGAACAAACGCATTACTTGATGTGAAAAATGCTGGTGGCAGCATCATGATGTGGGACTGCTTGTCCTCATTACTGACTGGGCAGCTGCTCAGAGCTGATGGGAAGATCGTGACTCCAAGTATAGAACTTTTTGGAAAAACCCTTTAATCAGCTGCAAAATACTTGAAACTGGTGCTGATATTCGCCGTTCAGCAAGACATCCCCACACGTTCATTCAGCGGAAATAATATTCATGTGTTCAAACGGCCTAGTCAAAGTCCAGAGCCGGACCCTTCTGTGGCAGGTTGAGAATAAAGAGCAGCATTTTCTGTTTTTGATATGCAAATCTAGGAGATAAATCCAATTTTAATTACTATGAATACAAATGCAAGCCACACTATTCAGATTTCTTAGACAAATTATCAAAAAGGGGGTATAAATATTTTCATGAACATATCTCCTTTTTTAAATATGAAGGTGTTATACGCAGAATGCCTGGATTTCATTCTATTCTCTGATTATCTAAAATGCTTTCCGTGTCTTTTGAACATTACAAGTTCAAGTGGAGCCACGTTTTCCACACTACAGGGTGTTGGGTCATTGTCTTTAATCGAATGTTAGCCTGGCTGCACGTCTAAAACAACCACTGACTCACTTCCTTTAAAATCCGCTTCTGTTTTTCAGTACGTTTGCAAAAGCTGCAACCAAGAGCAAATGAGCTTGCAATGGTCCGTTAATGCGTCTGTGTTCTGGGAAGGAGGTTATTACCAGAACATTTTATGCATGCACTCTGCTCTCCTATGCTGCTTCAGAGAAAATACTGTAGTCTGTAACCGCTCTACCATGAACATTTCTCTCAAAGGGAACATAGAGTTTGGTTTGACGCTGTGAAATGCCTCACTTTACAAGCAGCGTGCCTGAGTAAATAAACGGGAACGGCTTGTTGTATGATTGTGTTTCCAGTAGTGTGTTCTCTTTTTATTGGTCATGGTTGTTAAGGGACAGAAGAAATAATGAGAGCCACTCACAGTTGCCTCTTTTTTTTTTTTTTCCTGTTTTGCCAATATAGCTCTGGCAATAGATGTCCCAGAGCTAGAACTGCAGCTTTGCTTTCACAAGCAGACCATCCTGACTGCTGCCATAAGGTTCCGCTTGGTACTTATATATAAAAAATTATATATGTATACAATGGTGAAGGGAAGCGAGGGGAGAAAGAAATAAAGACAGGAGAGAGTGCATGAAAAGAGAGAAAATAAAACAAAACAGCAGAAATAAACACAGAAGATAAAAACAGTAACTCCTAGAAGTCTCCTTCCACACCTGTATGAGATTAGAGGAACAGATGTTTAATTTGCACCTTTACAGAGATATGATAATATTTTTATCCAATTTACTTTGTAAAAAAACACATAGGAAATTGTGAGTGATATTACTTCAAGGTTTTTCTAACATTCAACTCCACCAGATTAGCAATAAAAGCATGTATGACTCATGCTGATATCAATATCAGACAATAACCATAGCTGCATTATACTGCAGTAGCTATTCAACATTTCCCCTCTTTCCTTGAAGGGTCCTTGGCTGGTCCCCTACAATTCCTTTTTAAACATCAATCTTTGTACTAAAATATTCTTGAACAAGCGAGGTGTTCTGTGTTCAGCCAGGCCAATAATTCCCTCTAATGACCCCCTTTCAGAGACATAGACAGGTATCCGGCATTGCAGGCTAATAAAGAAGCCAAACGAACCAAACCGGTTCAATTTGCATGTTTTCTAAGCCAGAACAAAGCTTTGTTTTTGGTCCTCCCTATAAAGCCTCAAACTCAACGCTATTTATGACACTTTGAATTGAAAAAGCTTCCTGGATGGGAAGCGAAACGTCTTCAAACTTGTAAACAAAGTCCAGTGGATTGTTTCTTAAAAAATTTTTCAGAATGATTATGACCTGGATGACTGAGAATCTTCACCAGCACATTCTGTCATGATTTGTGGACATTAAGATCTAAAGAGAAGTGCCATCTCCTGGTCAGATCCTGTAATTCAGTGAAATGGTGGATTCAGAGTAAAAAAATATGCATTCCCAGGAGAAGGAGGGGTCACTCCAGTGGCTGGAAGTTGGAGGGGATTTTGCTGGGAGTTGCAGGGAAGTTGGCTGTCATTCAGCTGGCGTTTGAATGGGAAGGGCCATTTTTGAATGGCTGCTACTGTAGATATTGAAAATGTAAAAACATTTTTTTTTAATAGAAAACTCAATCTGCAGTCTGTCTGTCTGTCTAAGTACTTTGGAACTGAAATCAGAACGGTTTTAACTAAGCTCCTTCCCCTTTGTGATCACCCTGTTTTATACGCATCCTATCTTTAAGCCAGGTAGGGCATCTCATTTCCTACCTTTCAGCAACATTACTCTTGCTCTGAAGAAAAAATGCTTGGTTTAAATATCCTTTAATGCTCTTTATAAAGTCTGTAAACATCTGTCTGTCCATCAGAGCGCAGGTCAACTGGTTTGTTCTGTTAAAATGGCGATCACTGGTCACAGAGATTTAAAAAGCCTGACATGCTCATTCCAAATTTGACTGACAGAGATTATGATTTTTATGTAACTTGTTATAAGATCATAAAACATACCTTCAATATTTCAATCTGATGTTTCTGAAAAACATTGACCAGCATTTGTGAAGCAAACACTGCTCTCAGAAATTAATACAAAGTTTAAAACAAGTGATTTTCACATCTTTACAGAAGCAGATTAGATACCTTTCATTGTTCCTGATGCTTGATACTTCATCCATCCTTATTTTTGTTTCATATACTTCTCCCACTGCTTTAGTTGCACTCTTTTAGTGACATTTCTTACTGATGATCCAGTTTTGCATCTTTGAAACAGATCAATTCTCTTTCCAAGAGTCTGTTTCAATAATGATCGATCCACGGACTCACTCTGAGGAAAGACTCGCTGTCTAATCATTCCTTTTATCTAAATGTCATAAAAACAGAAGGAATAAGTTTCAGTTTCTTTAACACATCCAGCGTTTGATGTTTGATGTTTAATGTTCATGCATTTTTTTCTCTGATTACTGGAATACACAGAGCATTATGAAGTGATTTGGATTTAAATATTTAAATAAGGAAACTATAGGAAAATGTTTACTATTTACTTATATTGTATAAAAAGACACATAACCTTTTAGTTCTTACTGCCTGACATTAAATCAGACTTATTTTCTTTTCTTCTTGTTTTGAATAAGTAGTGGTTTGTATTCAGGCTGGGTGGATTGTTGAGATTTGAAAATGTTGAATTTTTTTTTACGTATGTAGGAAAAGAGTTCAGTGGTTTGAAATCCCGAATAAAGTCAGCTTTTTTTATTTATAGATCTTTGGGACACAGGAATATTTTAGTGGTAATATGAGGATTACTGGACAAAGAGAAAATGGACAGTATGCAATTTAACAAAATCACAGCTGCATTTATTCAGGCACTCTTCCGTTTTTGTTGACTCAAATACCTTTAACTTCTTAGCGCTAAATTATTGGAGCACAAAATTGATTTTGACAAATTAATTAAGCCTTTAACTGCATAGACAGATGTGTCCAATCATAAGAAAAGTTGATTGAATAAAAGCTGGTAAGGAAGTTTTACTATCCACAGCTAAAAACCTGTAGCTTAAAAAGTCACTCCTCATGCATTAAAAAATATATATATACTTAAAAACATACAAAAGAAAACAGTTTTTTCATATTCACCAGGGAAGACTTTCTGGGGAAATTAAAATACAGGATTTTGTTTCTTATGACCTATTTTTACAGCTACTTGTGGGTTTCTGAATTAATTTTAAGGTAATTTTAAACCAATGTAGTCTCTGGCAGTAACAGATACCTATAGATATTTTAAATAAACATTTAGTTTAATTTATAGTTCATTAATTCATGGTTTATAACAGTTTGCATTATTTTGACCTGCATTTGGGTTACAGCACATCAGAAGTCTGCAGCTATTCATGCAGCAGCCAGCAGAGGGCAGCATTATACAAGACTTTAGAGCTCATTAGCTTTCTGTAAGCAGGTTTTACAGTTTGCTATTTTTACAGAGGTGGCATAATTTTACACCCAAGGAAGCTCCACACTCTCAAAGTTGTTTTATTCTATTATTTCCAGTTGTATCAAAGTCCCACTGGTGTTAATTTGCTGCTACTTTATAGAAGAATAATGGTTATTTCTCTTTTACTTGTTAAAAATAAAGGCTGACCTTTAGTTTTTTGGTTTTTTGAAAGAAAAAAAAATCACATTTGTCACATTGCTTTGCAGCATCTCACTCTGGGTGTTGGACTTTCTCTTTCAGGCTCACCATCTCTGCAGAATGTCCAATGCAACTGGAGGATTTCCCCATGGATGCCCACGCCTGCCCCCTAAAGTTTGGAAGCTGTGAGTTAACACACCTCCGTACACATCTACACCATGAATAACAACTTTAAATGGTAATGGAAAAAAAGCAAAATCAGAGTTAAAACGTGAACAAAAAAGCAGCTGATTTGACATTGCCTCACTTTCAGGCTCTTTATCAGAGTGTTTGACAGCCCTCGTCCCTCTGGTTCTGAGCTATTGTGGTTGTGCAGGAGAGGACCATTTAGACACTGACACACTCCTCCTGATTAAGCCATTAATCATCATGTCAGAGCACCGCTCCATCTTCCTTTACTTTTCAGCCTCAGCCCCTCTAATAGTGCAAGGCTATTCATATTTTTGCATATCTAATCAGAACTAATAGCCTCAATTCATGAATTTGAAATTGAAGGAAAATCTAAGGTGATTATTTTGTATTGATACAAATCTGAAAATGGGGGAGTGTATGTATGTAATTAGTCACCATCAGACAATTCTAAGAAAAACATCTTTTAGCTGCAATAACAGCACAGATCTCTTTAGAGTGCGATTCGACCAATTTTACACATCTAGAAACCAGAATCCATGCACATTGATCTTAGTCATCATCAATCAGATTGGATTGAGCAACTTTGGAAATCTTTGCAGCTTTTCAGTCGACTTTAGCCCTAGACTTTGAACCCTTCTAAGCATGAATATACGTTAATGTGATCTTTTTCATTATGTCTGAAATAGATCACTAAGCCTAGATATAAAATTGTTACATTGGCTCCCCATATCTCAGAGAATTAGCTTTAAAATACATGTTGGTCAATCAATCATTGAATGGCTTAGCTCCAAAATACATTAAAGACTTGCTGTCAGTGGATCAACAACCTACACCTCTCAGGCCCCTCTGGATGGAATCTACTCTGCAGAACCAGAACCAAAACATGAAGAAGAGACCTTTATTTCTAAGTTGTTTTAAATTCGATAACAATGATGTAATACATCAAACGAATTCACAACGTGTGTGTAAGTAGCATAGCTTACAGGCATATTTACAAAATTTACACCAGAGGCTTTGAAGTATGCTCCACTGAAACAGGTTTTTGAGCAGAGAACTACAGTATTCTGACATGGGTGCAGTGTAGTCCTGTTTCTCTGACTGTGACTGGCTGGATGTGCTCTCTTCATCCTCTGACATGGGAGCTGCCTTGGAGCTCGTCTGCCTGGCTGTCTGTTTCCTGGTTGGGCCGCCTTTTACATTTGCTTTCTGTATCTCTGCTTCTGTCTCCTTGAAACCCAGTCGGCCTCGGCAGATGGCCGCTCACACTGAGCCTGGTTCTGCTGGAGGTTTCTTCCTGTTAAAAGGGAGTTTTTCCTCTCCACTGTCGCTACAAACATGCTTAGTGTGAGGGATTGTATTTGAGTCAATGAGTCGATGCAATCAGCTGGTTTTCCTTAGATAGAAAACTTTGAATTAATTTGACTGTATGATCTGGTGAACTGTAAATTGTCTTGAGATGACATGAGTTGTGAATTGGTGTTATATAAATAAACTGAACTGAATTGAATTATAGTAATCTAAGGGTAAGTTATGAAATAATTTTGATCACTGTAAAGTTCGTGTCTTGACTTTCTGGTTAGAAATGACATGTTTTAGTTTGTCACAACTATAAAGAACTTCTGTAGGATCTTACAGGAATAAACAGCTTTAAAGGTATAGCGGAGGATGTTCTTTTTCTGGGTGGATCATCAAAATAAGTGGTCCTCCTAATTGTCAATCATTCTGGTGATATGTTTACAGAACGCTGTCCTACGTGCCCGTTTTCACTTACTGGTAGTGAGTCTGACATAATATAAAAACTGCAAATCTTTTTTTAGAAAGTAAGCTTGTATGAGCGATGCAAACAGCAACTTTTAAAAAGAGCGTGCACGAGGAGAAATGGGCTCATGCACACTCTCACACGCGTTTAATAGACGTTCGCTCTCAGGAGCGGGTACAGGGTTGTGCATGTACATTTTATTTTTTTAAAGTGGAGAGAGAGGGTCTTTACAAATCCTCCACTAAACCTTTAAGTTTTGTATGTTATTTGTCGTAAGGGCACCAAGCAGAAGATGCACCTTGGCTTTCCCTCTGCTGGTTTCTTCCTTGATAAACAGAGGCTTTTATGAGCCTGAAAGTAGAACTTACACCTAAAGTAGGTGAAGCGCATTCTGTTATATCTATTTAACATTATTTACCTGTTTAGCTGGCAGGCAAACAGTGAAGCACTAGCTTAACTGCTGACTTTAAGAACAACACAGAACAAAAAGGGGAATATCAACTTAAGCACATGATAACAGGAGTACAGGTAGTAAGGGACAGGTGAACTAATCTAATTACTGAAAGCTCTGACTGAGGAAAGGACGTTTAAATAGTACAGAGCGAAACACACAAGGGAAAACCAATCCCCACTGATACAAAAGACAAAAAAATAACTACAAAAAACAAAAATGCAAGCAAGAGAAACCAGCAAACAAAAAAGGCAAACATACAAAAGTAAATCAAAAGTTCCCCAAACCATCACACACTGTGTTTTCATGTGCACTGAAATGTTTACGTTTTATTTCCTGTGAACAGACCACCTTCCACATGTTTGGTTTGTCTTTCTGTAAATGTAAACATCATATTTCTTTATTGGCGTGCTTCTGTGTAGTTCTTCCCTTAGCAGGGTGCAGCACTAATATTTGTCCTGTCCAATTATTCTCTTATCCAAGTTGTGGATCTATGAAGCTCCTCCAGAGTCCAGGGACAGTTAAATGCATTTTTATTCTATTTATACATTTTTTTTAATGTTCAAAAATGGGGGTAATGCTTTAAACTCACCTTTACTGACTTTACTGCTGTGTTCCTTGTTTTGCTGGATCTATGCTGGGATTAAATTAGACAAGAGTTGGATTCTAGTTTAGTTATTTCTGAAGGCAATTTATCAGACTGCTTTTTATTGCATGATATATGAGTAAATTGTCAATGTAAAAAAGAAAAACAGAGGTTAAAGTGATTTTGCTTGATTTTACTGGATTAAATGAAAAAAAAAAAACGATTCATGAAGAGACTTCCTCAGGTCCATTAAAAATCAGGTTATACATGCGGTAGGAGAGCATTTAAAGCACTTAACCTCACTTTGATTCACAAGTCCAAAATAATCTGGGAAGTTCCTGCCCTAGACGCTTAAGATGATCATTTAAGGTGTTCCCTGCCTCTGACGTATGGGCGGTGATTCCGGGCCGTAGGAACAGCATCACACCACATTTATCCCCTTCCACGCCTGCTTTGATCACCTCCACCCACAGCTGACACCAGCAGCAGGGATAATCGGGACAGGAAACCGAAGCTCCTTTTCACACAGGGAATGCTCTGTAAGGCCCCCACCATCACGCCATCTTGTGCTTCTTAACTTTAATCACATAAGGATTTTCTTGGGGCCCTTTAGATTCAGACTACCTGAAATTACTAATAGTTTATCACGAATAATTCTTTCTACTTTATTCCAGTTCTCATCTGCATCTTTTATTTTGTTTCCTGCACATCTGAGAGGTTTATTCTTCTTTAGGATAAAAGAAAATAAAACTAGTAAAGGAGATGAGGGACTCGTTTGTTAGAGAAAGTACAAACTGGCTTTTTGAGTTTACTCAATCTGTGTAAGGGATTGGATTATGAATGGACTGAACTGCACTGTTTGTAATTGGATTTGAATTAAACCTGTTACTGTTTTTTGTATGTGGTCCTAAGAGGACTTTTACTGCAGGCTGATGCTGCTGCATATATATTGTCATGTGGGGGAGGAGGTTTATATATATATTTATATATATATATATATATATATATATTTATATTCAGCCTAATTCTGTCTGTTTTGGCTAAATAAAATCCAATTTAACAAGTTGTCATTGAAATACAAAATATAACAGATAGAGAGATATGTCGGCCTGTTGCTATTTTGGATGATATTAGTCTTTTTTTCTTGCAGCCAAAGCGTGCATGTTTTGACTCAACAGTGCTTTTACCAACCATACCTTAAGATCGAGTGAAGCCTATCCAAGGGTGCTCCCTCCATTTGCTGTCCATTGTTGTTTAGTTTGATTTATTTATAAATTTATTTTGTTAAAAGTTTGATCTATTTACTTTATTTATCATTTGGTCATTTTTATCATGGAAATGGAAGAAGAAAGAACACATTCAGCTAGAGGAATCAGCAAGAAAAAAAATCGGCAGTATATATTAAGGAACAGTTGGAATCGACCTTAAAAATTCTGTATGGGTTGAACTTTCCTAAACAGATGAATTATGGGTTATTTGTTCTCAGTAATAATCAAGCTAATCTGCGAAAGCTTGAAAGGTTTGCTAACAGCACTGTAAAGACCAAGGAACACATTGGGCAGGTCAGGGCGTCAGCTGAAGGAAAAGCTTATAAAATGTTGTAATGACCCCTAGCCTACTAAACTAGCCCCACCCACCAGTGGCCAAAATCCTTTTTGCCTGTGAGTGGTCTAGCCTCGATCAATGCCCCAGGCCCTAGAACTGGCGGGCCAATCACAATGCAGAGATGTGTTTTGAATTTCTGGATGCAAAGCGGGTGGGTTTTTTTTTATTTTTTTTTTTTATTTTGGGGTTTTTGAGGGCGAGACGACAAAGCTGCGTGATGCTGGAGAAAAAATACAAGGAAGATGGCAACAACTATTGAACAGTTCTCGTTTGACTCCGCTTTGGAATTAGTATAGGAAGGATTAGACCTGGGTTTGAAAAAGTTTGTTGAATAGGAAGAGGCTCTATGCTCTTTCATTTTTAAGATGGACGTATTCACCGTTTTACCGACAGGCTGTTTGTTTACACTCCCCCACCAGCTTTCTGTCGCGCACATTCAGTTGCGCTAATTGGTCAGAGCGTTGGCCAATAGGCACAGACAGCAGTTTGAAAGACAATAGGTAGTTCTCATCAACAATCTTCTGATGCCTCATTTATCGGGGCCAGACTAAATTACACATTTAATTTCACATTTAGTCTGGTTTATCAGGCT